GGTGTGTATAGATCCAGAAAGCTTAAAGGAAGGTCTTCAGTACCATTCAATCAATCAGCAAGCATTTATTAAGCACTTACTGTGTGCCAGGCACAGTGCTAGCCATTGGGGGTATGAAGACAAAAATTCCACAGCCCCTGACCTTAAGGAGATTATGAGGGAGACAAGAAATACCTAAAAGGTGAACAAGACACGGGTAGGATAGATGGAGGGAAAGGCTCTAGTTGACAGGGGACCAGGAAAGGTCTCCTGAAGAAGGTGGCATGTGAACTGAGTCTTGAGGAAAGCCAGAGATTCTGAGAGGCAGAGGTAAGGAGAGCACTCTAGGCATCGGAAACAGCCAATGCAAAGGTGTGGAGGTGGTAAAAATGGAGTGCCCTGTGGGAGGATCAGCAAGTGTCCTGGCACATTTGGATCGAGGGAGGGGGAGGGCAGGGAGTGGGTGGGGAGAAACGTGTAGGAGAACGGGAAGAGAGGAAGGGGCCTGGTTGGGAAGACCTTTAAATGGCAGACCCCGTTTGTATTGGATTCTGTGGGTAACGGGGAGACCCTGGAGTTTATTTAATAGAGGGGACACACGGCCAGCCTTGAGATGAAGCAGAATCACTCTGACAGCTGAGTGGAAGACGGGCCAGAGTGGGGAGAGACATGAGGTGGGTGGACCCCCCAGGCGGCTACTGCAGTAACCCAGGTGGGAGGTGACGAGGGCTCGTGCCAGGCCGGTGGCAGGCTCAGAGGGGAGAGGGGGCACACCAGAGAGCCGAGACGAAGGTAAAATGAATAATTTCCTCATTTCCAAGAGGACAATATTTTCCATTGCCTTCACGTACCACCATTTGCTCAGCCACTCCCCAAGTGCTGGGCATCCCCTTAATTCCCAGTTCTTTGCTATCACAAAAGCAGCAGCCATAAAATTTATTTTTCTACACATGGGTCCTTTTCCTTTTTCTTTGATCTCTTTAGGGCACAAGCCGGCCGTCATATCCCCGGGTCACAGATTCCCCACACTAGCAGGGAGGCTCCTAAATTGTTTTCCAGAATGGTTGGACAAATCACCAGCACCATATATTGGGGGACCCACTTTCCCATAGCCCCTCCAGCAATTGTCCTCTGTATTGACTTTGAATTGACTGATCAACGTACATGGCTTTTTACCTAGGAGAAGGCAAGCTTGTGGAGGGCAGGGCTGCTTTTTGGGTTGCATTACCAGAGCCTGGGCCAAGGCAGGAGCTGAACAAGTCCTTTGTTGAATCTCCCCTTTCCTCTCCCGACTTCTAACCTCTTCCCTGCAGCTCCTCAGTCCCTCCTCCATTTCTGTTGCCCTGGGACTCCTCCCAGACCCTTCCTTCCCAGCACACAATGACACCTTCTGGCATTCTCCAGTTCCCTCATTTCAGATACGAGGGCAGAGGCCTCTTGAGGGCCCCTGGGATGCTTTGACTCTCCCTTTGTCCCAAGCTCCAGAGGCTTCAAGGTCGAGATGTTAGCAGTCACCAGCCAGAGGATGCTGTGGAGCTTCATCCCCACTGAGGACTGACAAGGAGAAAAGAGAGTTGCCCTGTACTGGAGGAAATTAGGTCGGATAAAAGAAAACTTTCTGGTGGTCAAATTCTAAGTTTCCCAATATGTACTGTTCCCTTGCACTCCTCAGCCCAGATACCCATGGTACATGCATCACTAGCAGTAGAATACTCCTATAGGGGATTGGTGACTGGCCTTGTAGTCAGGAGGACCTGGGTTCTAATCCTGCCTCAGACACTTATGGACTATGTGATCCAGGACAAGTTATTTTACTTTTCTGGGGTCTGGTTTCCTCATCTGTAAAACAAAGGGATGCAGAATTCCACGGCCCTTCCAGATCCAAATTAATGATGCCACAAGCCCGTGAGCCCAGGCCTACCTAATGTGGGCAGCATGCATCTCCACAGAGCTTGAAGGTTTCTGAGCAAGGCCCCAGCACCTGGGTGGACCTCTTGTTGCAAACTTAGGGGAGAATTAGAGGGTCCCACCCACAGAGGTAAGGAGGACATCCAGGCTGACTCCCTCCTTTTACTGCAGAGAAAAGAGCTGAGGGACACTCATGCCCTAGCCCAAGGTCATCCCGGCGGCAAAGTATTTGAGAAGGCCTGAGCCCAGGCCCTCGGTGAAGTCAAGGCTCTGAGCATCACGCAGGGTGGATTGGTTGCTTGGACTGAGATCTGCTTCCTAGAAGGGACTTCCAAATCTATGACATCTCACAGGTTTACAGAGCGCTTTCCTGTGAAGGGGGCAGAGCCAGTATCTTCTGTGGTGGGGGCTGGGAGGGGGCCTTTCCTTGGTAGAGGGATGTCACCGTCCCAATTTTACATATGGGGAAACTGAGGCTATAAACGGCTCTAGGTCTTGGCCAGGGCTACATAACTGGTAAGTGCTTGACCCAAGATTTGAACCCATGTCTCCTGACGCGAGTTCAGGTTGCTGTTCTCTAGGGCAGCTTCCTAAGAGGCAACAGGAGGGTAAATGAGAGGCTAGCTGCAGGGCTGGTGATGATAATCTATACAACAACAATAATAATTGTTAACATTTACATAGCACTTTACATAGTCGATTTTCTTAGGTCATCACTGCACACCTACATGCACACACGTGCACACACTCACACGCGTGCGTAGACACACACACAAATTCTGTTCTCTGCTCCACCAGGAGGAGAAAAGGCAATACACTTCCTTTTATTTTCCCAGATTTGGCGTTTCGGGGAATCATTCATCACTCCCCTACCTTGCGAACAAGGCAGGCCACAAGTCAAAAGCTCTAGGACATTGTTAAAGCAGAATTTCCATGAGTCTCCATTTCTTCCCCGGGAAAGTAATCACGACTGAATTTAGGGAAAATGAAATAGAAAATGCCAATATTTGTTCTCAAGTGATTTTGCTGCATTCAGGTACAACCTCCCTTGTATTTACTGGTTCGTATTTATTCACGCTTTCTCACATCCTCGCCCTGTCATCTCAAGGACGTGCTGAGCACCTTCACGGTAGAGGCAATGCCTGGTCTGTCTCAGTGGATTTTTGAGAAAGAAGAGCTTGGCGAAGGGTGGATGGGGCTGGGAGGTCGTGGAGGGGAGGCCCTGGAGGCCCCCTGACAATGCAGCAACCCTGGCCGACAGCCTTGATCCTGCGGGGCGTGCAGAAGTGTTTGGGGTGATGGAGTGGGAACCAGCTCACTGGCTGGACAGAGGGACGTCGGAGAGAGGGCTTCTGGTCAGGCGTGGGCTAGCAGCGGGGGGGGTGGGAACTGCCGAGCTCCCCTCCAAGTCTGCAGTTCTCACATTCTGGGATTCTGCCTCTGTTTGGGGAGCTTGGGGTCTGGAACCCTCAGTCATCATCACCAGGTACCTCCTCCATGGAGGGCCAGTGATCCACAGCCAGTGGGTGCGGCGACCCCTTATTCCTTTCTCATCGTTTGTGGGTATGTATGGATTCCCTCCTCTACCTCAGTCGCAGTCCAAGACCTTGGAGGAGAAGCAGAAGTTTTAGGGGGCAGCTGCAAACAGATGCATCCGTATAGGAGACCTTCTCTCTTTCCTTTCCATTTCTGTAATAATCCTTGTTATATTACATCAGGCAGCTAGGTGACTCAGTGGACAGAGCCTAGGTCTGTCAGGCTGTCTGTCTGTCAGGAAGACTTGAGTGTGACCCTTGGCTGTGGGACCCTCAGCAAGTCCCTTAAACTCAGACTCACTATAAAATGGGGATAATAATATCACCCACCTTCTGCCTTCAATGGTCAATAGATTTAGAGCTGGAAGTGACCTCAGAGCTTCCATTTTGCAGAGAAAGAAGCTTAGGCCCAGAGAAGTTAATGACTCACTCGGGGTCACACAGCCGGTAAGTATCAGAGGCAGGATTCAAACCCAGGTCTTCTGGGATGTGGGTCCAGCCTGGATGTTGCCTCTTGGCCAGCACTGGATTTCCAGCCCTGAGCCGGTGAAGGAGCCCCTCAAACGATTGATCATGAGGCCGGGTCTCCAGAGGCACGGAGGGGCCCGCTTTTCTCACTGAGGTCAGTACAGAGAAGGCCCCTGCTGTCCCGCTGTAGGTGATGCCTCTTTGAGGGCTCCTCTCCAGCCGGGCACCTGAGCAGGGGGCCGGACGCAGTCTGTGGAGGAGGCCGCCCCGGGTCCGAGGCCATACAGGCCAGGAGGGGCTCTTGTCTGGAGCCTGCAGGCCCTGGATAGTGAAAGCCAAGAGCAGGGAGCAGCGTTTGGCTGAGATCTCCTTCCTCCCCTCCATCTCTCCTGGGAAGGCCGGCCGGCTGGCCAGCCTGCCTCCTTCACAGTCCTGAAGAATGCAGTTCGGGGCCAAAAGCCCGCCTGGAAGGCAGATGCCGAGGATACTGGCCTCTGGCTCCCCAGCTCACTAAGCCCAGAACCAAAAGGGCTGAAGCAGCAGCCTCTCTGACAAGGAACCTGGTTTTCCCAGGGAGAACAGGACAGCCACTTTACAGCTAATTATGGTGATTAGGAACCGCTGTGAGTAAACCCAGGGCCAGGCTGTCCGGCTGCGGAGGCCCTAGTCCATTAGCAGGAAGGGCCATCAGCCAGAGGGAGCCTTCCCAGGCTTCACCCAAGAGTTAGCTCAGCCCCTCAGTCATGCGGTCATGGAACGATTGGGGTCCTCGTTATTAATCAGACAAAGAACTCACAGGTTCCTGGGAGCTGTCACGACTTCCAGCCCCGAAAATTAGGAGGTTTGCAGGCTGTGCTGACGAAAGTGAACCCCACCCCCAGGCCTGAGGGCTCAGCTCCTCGCTGAGACAGCTCAGGGCCCTGAGGATGGGGAGGCAAATGGAAAGCCCCATCAAAGGGTCATCCTGAGAGAACGGCTGCCAGCCCGTCTGTCTCTCAGGGCCAGCACGCAGTGCCTTGGGCAGTCCGAGGTCTCTCCACTCAATGGCAGTCAGCAGCTGCTGAGCTGTGTCAGAGACAAGGCAAGCAGGGGGCAGCTGCCTCGACTTACCTGAGTCCAGAGCAAGTGCTGAGGCTGACCATCGAATCAGGATGTCCTTGCACATGTCCATGGTAGTAACAGTGACCCTAAGGAGAGAGAGAGAGAGAGAGACAGAATGAGAGGGGTGGGGAGGCAGAAAGAGGAGAGAGAGAGAAAGAGATACAGAGACAGAGACAGAGAGAGACAGAGACAGAGAGAGAGACAGAGAGAGAGAGATGGGGTAGGGGGAGATAGGAGAGAAAGACAGAGAAAGAGAGACAGATGAGAGATGGGGTGGGGGGAGACAGAGAGGAGAAGAAAGAGACAGAGAGGAGAGAAGAGAGAGAGAGAGAGAAAGAGAGAGAGAGGAGAGAGATGGGG